GGGCACTATGAGTATATTAAAAAATACTACCCTCAATAGATAGCTAGGTCTTGCTTGTGTTAGTACTAGCCACATTGATGCTTGAGATAAGAAGAAATTTTCAAAATTAGAACCAGATACTGGCCACCAAAAATGCAACCATCTATCAAAAACCACAACCTTGCCTTCGAATTTGTCCCCTTCTATAAAGGAAATAAGTGTGTAAGGCCTTCTCAGATCTTCTATGACTTGATGGTGGCCAAAGACAAATGGACCCACTTGCATGAAGTGGCAACACCATGCCAAGAAATCACCCATTACACATCTACCTGCACTACTGAAATATGCTGGAAATCCAATCCTCTCTACTTTTTCAACAATTGATAATGCCGTATCGTCATAATTTAAACTCAATTCGCGATTCCGCTAATAGTTTTTTGATTAATCCGTAGACTAACGACCATCTGAATGGGAATAAGATAATAGAAATAGCGTTGCGAGGACCTTCGTCGTGTCGGAGATGCAATTTTCGAAATCGCAGCTTTCATTACCAAAATCAACTCTAATCAAGATATTTAAATTTAGGAAATATTATTCCATCATGTATTGGTATATATTTTTGCCGACATGAATGTGCCAGTATTTACTTTTTGAAATTGCCTGAAAAACCGGATATCTTTTGCATGCAATAATGAATCCATTTTTTTATTATGTCATCATGAGACCTTCCTCCGGAACGATCTTTTAATGAAGTTGTCAAATCTGTGTTTTCTCAATTTTCCACTATTAGGAAAAAAGTTATGACGGTATGCTTTTTGAAGACATGAAGAGGAGGTGAACGAACCTCATAAAACAAAAATTCAATTGGGTTAATTTACATATTCACTCTTTCAACAATGTATGGAATGAACAGGTTTGATTTTTTGTATTGATATTTATGTCATTCAAACATTTTTTGGCAGATGGAAACATGTTTTTTATCGATATGCGATTGCTAGATGAAAAATGCTGTGAAAAGGGAGGTTGTCTTTATTGATCTGATATATATTAAAGGTTGGCCGAACTATAATCATAGCTTTATTAATTAATTATAGTCAAAGAATTTCCTTCTATTATTTTTATTCTCGATAATTATGAAAATACAATACTCAAGGGAGACCAAAAGGTATGAAAACTATGAAAGATAAATCATTAGCTGATTGTAGATTGTATAAAGAAAAATTAATAGAATTGATTGTTGTGCACTCGAAAAAATTGTGTCTTGCGTCAGATAATTTGATTTCTGAAAAAAAGAAAGGATTTGAAATACTCGTATATAGTAATAGTAGATTATTTAAAAAAATTGCATGCAATTTTTATTTCTTATGATCTTTGCAATTTAAACAACGTAGATGCTGATGTTTCTACTTTAGAAAAGAATCACGTAATTAAATTCAATAATAATAATAATAATAATAATAATAATAATGGGAACTTATCCAAAAAAAAAAAAGGCCTTTGAGGCATTCAATTGCCCGCAAGTATCAATTTGGATTATAATTGATGTTTTGTATTCAGCTACTCAAACACCTACTATTTCATCTTTGGTTGTTTGCGGTCACCTATTTATCTATTCGGTTGCACAACAAAGATGTCTGAACCAACGCAGCGACCCAAAACTCTTGGTAGAAACCTTAAACCAAACTACCGGGGTGGCCCAGGCTTGATTTTAAAGGGTTGGTTTAGGCTTAGAGTAGGTTCTCTCCCGAAACTGTTTAGGGTCACAGCGTTGGTCTGAATAGGAATTAAATACATTGATAAAGATATGGATGGAGTTGAGAAAGCAAGGCAAAATGTTTGGATGCTGATACATTTATTTCACTGTATATTCCATTGACAGTGATTGCTAGTTGGTGTATGTATGGTTAATTCATTTACAATCGAACTTGGTGTAGAACCAATAAACAATTAATATTGTAACTTGTAAATCCATTTGACATGAAAAATTTTCCAATTTATAAAGGGTTTCAAGAAAATGATATAATGAGGAGTGGTTGTTCCTTGTTATGTGTAAAATTGAAATCTATGAAAGGTGCAAATTCCTTTTGATTATGTTTGGCTAATTTATTATAATTTTCACAAATGCTTGGTAACATTCCGAGATGAAACGTAGTTTGTAAAAACAGCGTTCATGTTCATATTTCTAATTTTAAAATTGATTGTTTTGATTGATTGCTTTCGTAGCGCCCAGATAACATTCATTCATCAATGCGCTTAATATTAATAATACTAATGAATCAAAAATGAATTATCATATATTTATCAATGAAAACACCAACAATGTCTCTAATTTTACATAAAACAAAATTATCAATAACATTATTATTGTTGGAGGAATTTTTAAACTAGTGATAAAATTTATGAAGAATACATTTCTTAAAGGTAGGTTGTGATTTGGCTGTTTTAAACTCTCTTTAAATCAGGAACAAGATCAAAGTTATGGAATGGATGGTGGATCGATCAACAAGTACTAGCAGGCATCTCAAATAATGACAATATATAATTAATTGCTCAATTGTAGTTACTTGACAGATCTTTTTATTTCCTTCGCAGTCACATTTCATTCACCAGTTTGTATATATGTATGTATGTATGATGGATGATATTTGGAACAACGATTTCTCTGGATATTCTAACAAAAGATCAATGCGCGTCTAGTTGAATTTTATCAAATAATAATAATGATAAACATTTCTATTTTAAAAATATTTTTTTTTACAAGAAAAAAAATCTAATTATTAAATAATCGTACAAAAAATAATATACTGTATATATAAAGCGATTAAATTACATTAAATTAAATTAAATTAAAGATTAATTGATTAGTTAATGATTTTTTGCTATATCAGAAAAATAAGTTAATAAATCATCCATTGAAAATTCCAAAGTGATGTTTGAATCAGGATAACATTTATTGATGGTTAATGTAAATCTTTCATAAGTACGGATTACTTCTTCTTCTATACTACGCCATACAACTTGTAATAATTCATCATATTCTGTAAAATGTTTATCAACACGCTTATACAATGATTCAAGGCTTTTCCTGATCTAAAAAGTAAATAAATTAATTAATAAATATATTTATTATGATTACAATTATTAACAATAATTTCTTTAAATAACAAATTAATAATTACCTCTTTTCCAGGTAATTGTGATATTACTTTTTTCAATGCGGCTTTACTATATTGTAATCTAAATCCTACTTCCTCAGGTGCTGCGGTTGTTCTTAATAAACTATCTATACCATCAAAAAATTCCTATATATATATATATAATTATAATTGTACAGTTATATACAGTTACGATTATAATAATTATAATGATAATAATTCTTATATTTGTTGATTTTAAATTACCATTAATTTTCCAAACGGTCTCCTGATAACAGCTTTAGCATAAGCTTCAAGATGTTTATCATAAGAGTTTCTAGCATATCTCATGAAAGGATCAAGCACATGAATCTTACGAGTACGTATTTCAGTATAAAAGTGGTGCATGTTTTCTAAAAAAAAATTTTTTTTTTTTTAAATTTAATTAATAATATTTTCATTAATGATAATATTTTTCACCCAATTAAAAATCAAGTTCATTACCTAAAGTTACTATATGAGCATTCAATTGTTCTTTATCTATAGATTCTGTATCTTTAGCAATTGCTTCAAGACAATCAAACATTGTTTTCACAATCTCTTCATATGCTCTATTAATAATTTGTCGTATCTCTAAATTTTCGGAACCTGTCATTGAGTGTTCAATTCTTTCAACAAAACGCTAACAATTAATTAATTAATGAACATAATTAATCCTATTGCAAAATTATGATTACGTTTTTCTTTACCAAAAATATATATTTTACTTACTGGAAATATACGAATAAATAATACTATTCCTTTACGTTTTTTGGAAGTTACTTTGGTTTCTTCAATTGATCGAAGTTGTTCGTTCTATCAATATTGTTTAAAAATATTTATATCTTGATGCATATGAAATAGATTCTGATAAAATTTTCACTTACAATAAATTTTTCAAAAATCCCAAGAGCATAAATTCTAACGTGTCCCAACATTTTGACAACAAAATCTTGTCTGATTTTATCACTTTCATACATAAATTTCTCTAATGATACAATCATACCAACTACTTGACTAATTTTATATAAAAGATATAATTAGACATAATAATTTAACAAACAAATAAACAAATAACCAATTACACCTACATTTTATCATATTTGCAACCATATTCGATAAATGAATTTAATTCATCTGGCATAAAGTTATATAACCTTTCCATATGTTCACTATAAATATATACGATATAAAAAAAAAATTCATAAAGAATATTTAAATAAAAAAGGAATTATTATACTTTAAAATAATAAATTAAACAAACAACTAACAATAATCTTTTATAAAGTTTAATATCTTCGATATCAGCGTCACCATCAAGTGGATTTTTTGGAAGTGGTTTTTTAGTTCCAAGATGAAAAAAATCTTCTATAAAATTTTTCTCGGTAATAATCAAAGGAATTATTGTTTGTAAAGAATGATCAAATGACTATAATTAATTAATTAATCAAAAAAATATCGTTAGGAGAGCCGTTTATATTTTTTTTTCCACATATATATATATATATATGTTTTTTCTTACTTCTTCAGGTGGAAGTTTTCCACCACCTCCATCTTTAAACTCCCACGGTGCCCTTGAATTATCTATTGACAACCAATTTCCAAAATTCGTACTGGTGCGATTATTTTGAAGTAATGCTGCACTAAACACTGTATTTATTATATTTAATTGTAATTTCATTTAAAAAACCATTGTTATTGTTTTCTTTCTTTCTTTTTTGGAATATTTTTGTCAATATTACATACATTTGTATATAAATATACATAAATATATATAATTTACCATAAGTTGCTTCTTCAGATAATTCTCTTTTGAATAATAATTGCTTCATTGTTGTTAAATATTCTTTGGTTTCTTTTTTGTAAACAGGTTCTTTAGAAAGCACATATAACTATATTCGATAATTAATTACTGTTATTATTGTTACTATTATTATTATCAAAACGATTTAAAAAATTGGATATAACAAACTGTTTGAATTTCAGTATGACGTCTAGGATCCATTTGTTTCATCCATAAGGAAATTCCACGATATTTTAATAAATGTTCTTCTATTGCCTGATGACTTTGGATAGTGAGATTATTGTGTCGTGGTCCTCTACTTTTATCATTTAGCAAAGTCTCTGCCTAAGATCAAATAAAATTAAAATCAAAATTATTTAAATTTTATTCAAAAACATACACACACACACACACACAAATATATATTACCTGATATTGAAACATAACTCTCATATATTCATAAAAACGAGAACAAAAATTATTACAATGATATTCATAGGATTTCATTAATTCTTTTACAGCTGCCATGTCTTTAGTTGCTATTACCATAAAAGATTTTTGAGTTAAGATTTATTAAAAGTTTAAAAAAAAAATATAATATCCTTTAGTAGAAATATCTTTTACCATCATCAAATGGAGTTTCTAATACGCGTTTTAAGTGTGTAGCGGCTTGTTCGATATTTTGTACACCTTGAGGTGTATCCATCGATTCATGTTTTAATATTTTGATCACTTTATCAGATATAGTTATGGATTGCTAGATAACCATTATAAAATATAAACATTTTCCAAGTGTTAAATTATAATGAAATAGGAACGATAATGATTTTTTAAAAAAAAAAATCAAGATAAATCTATAAAAATTACAAGAAGTCTGTCAAGTTCAGAGAGTAAAGCCTTTTGATTAGCAGTTTGTACTTGTAAGCCTCTATTTTGACCTTCAATATGATGAATATCATCACCCATACTCTAATAATAATAAAACAAATATTATATGTATCTGTATGTTAATTGTAATGAATCTTGTTATTGTATTAGCATTGATATACTGATTTTTTCTTTACATTCAATTCATCTGTATATAATGTTAGCCATTGATCCATATTATCCAATTCTGAAATAGCATAATCAATTTGTTCAATAACTGCATAAATTCTATCATCTGATTCTATCATTGCATGTATATTTGCCTAAAAATTATGTAAATAAAAAATTAATATCATGATGATTTATATAAAAAAAAAAAAAAAATAACAAAAATAGTTGTAATTATTATTTATTATGTAAACTTACAGATTCCAATGCAGCCAATTCATTTAATAATCTTTCTTCCAAGGCTTCAGCATTTCCACTTCCTTTCCAATCAAAGTCATTAAGTAACTCTCCAACATTTATTAAAGAAATTTCTTCTTGTTTCATTTCTTTGATAATAATAATATATAAAATATGTTATCAAATCGGGTGAATTTGAAATTTGTAATTAAAATTTTTGAGATGTGGTTTAGGACACAAAATTCTGATTGGCAAACTTTGAATTTACGCGAATGTATTTAAAATTCACACAGATTTATTTCACTGCGTGGAATTTCAAATTCGCACACAACAAATATAAAATGTATTTATATTTATATTTATATGAAAAAAAAAAAAAAATTGTTAAATTACCATCATCTTCATCAGTTTGATTTGTTATACTATTTGAATCACTTTGACCACCACCCATGGATAACGAAGGTGTAATTGATCTACTATTTTTGCCTCCAATACTTTTTAAACTTGAATTAGATTTGTTTGAATGTGCCAACCTATCTTTTAAAGAAGTTGCCGCAACGTAATTATCAAACTCATTTGATGGTGTGTTTGGAGTGATTGGTGTTTTGGACGGTGTGCTTGGAGTGATTGGTGTTTTGGACGGTGTGCTTGGAGCAGTTTGCGGTTTAGATGGAGTGCTTGGTGTAGATGATGGTTTATAATCTAAATTTTTTTAGCAAGAAATTATAAAAATATATTTATATTTAAAAAAATAAAGATTTGAAATACCATATACCTGGTACGATAGTATCATCGATATTGACTAGTTTTGGTAGACGTTTAAAATGTTTTTTATATGCCTAAAAAAAAAAATTTCTAAATTAAAAGAAAATGTCTTGATAACCATAACCGTAATATAATATAATTATTGTTATAGTATAGAAAATAATTTATTAATGATAAATTTTTTATTACTTGCATTTAAAAGAGTTGACAAAAAAAGATTTCTATCGTGTGTATTATCCGCAGTCCAATGATATGATTTGTTGAAACTCATTATAAAAATCTGAGACTAATTGATAAATTACAATATAAATGTAATAATATGTAAATGATATGTGCGATATATATATATATATATAACATATATGTATATAAATGTGTGCGTATGTATATATATATAATATGAATCAATTTACATCAACTATTTCAACAGCTCGAAGATTGTCTAATGTCCAAGTTCTACCAATGGAAAAAGTATCATTGCTATTCATTTTTGATTTATGAAGAAAAAGTTTCCCACTAAGTTTCCCACTACGTTTGACTAATAAATGATAATTAACATTAAAAAGAACCAATTCAATTAACAATTATTATAATCGTATTAAATAACAAGTATCCTAATTAACATACTTGAGGCTAACAAATATCTAATCTTGACTTCTCCTTTGATTCCTTTCCCTGTTGAAGGATCATTGACAGAAGGTGAAGTCACGGTATTTCCAGTACCATCTTCTGTTATTTTTATATAAGCCAATAATGCTTCATTTAATGTATTACTATGCCCTAAATTATATTTATTTATTTATTAATATTTAATATAAAATTCAATTTATAATGTGAAATTTTTAAAACAAAAACCTTGTGATGTTTGACTTTCATTTCCTTCAGGAAACAAAGAATTAATTATCAATTGTCCTATAGTGTCTGAAACTTGTTGTCTATTCTCTGTCATTATTATTTTTATTTTTAAAAAAAATTATTTTTTAAAAATAAAATCTATTTTATATAATAAGCATTGTGACGATCCCAAAATATATTGTGCAACCATATAAAATTTTAAAATTAAAAAAAAAACTCAAATAAATCAAGATGACAAGCGTAGCAAAAAAATTGATAGAAAAATCTAAATCAGAATTACCCATTTATAAAGATGCAAAATATAATAAAAATCTTATCGATTTAATAAACGTATATCCAAAATATGGAATTGGTTTGAAAGTGGTATGTGAAATCAAGAAATATTAGTTTTTTCCACTCTTTAAACTGATCATTTAATGTTTTGATTTATGTAAATTATAGATTCCATATAAATGGATAAAGAAAGGAAATTTAAATAGTTATTATGAAGTGTCAAGTGTTAAGCTAAAGGTTAGATGGATGTCAGTTAATATCAAAGAATAGCATTTTAAAAGTATAAATATTATGATTAATAGATTTATTGTTTATTATATAATTAATAAATGAATTCTAAAGAATGTTGCACATGGTCGAATATTTGGTATAAAATATTATAAAGGTAAATAAAATCAGAAATTATATTATATTCATGACTTGTATCTTTCACTCAAAATCTGCTATTTTCTCCTCCCTTATTCTTTAAAGGTAAAATGGTGACAAAAAAAGAAAAGGAAGTAATTAAATGGACTTATAGTAATAATTGGCATCTATGGCCTTATGAGGGTAAAAAAGACGGTATATGGCATTAATTAATTAAAGAAATTAATACACAAAAGAGAGAAAGAATGAGTAATATTTGTCACGCTTGCTAGCATTTTTTGATTTTTATTTAATTAAATTAAATCACTAGATTTGTTTTCGTGTTGATATAAATTTATCATCGAAAATCAAAACAATCAAAAATAAATAATAAAATAAAATAAAAAACTTATCCCAGTCAGCTTCCGATGGAATCATTCACGTAGGTTCTTACTGTTGATAAGAGACAGGCTCTCATTATCTACTCAAAATCCCAAAAAATTTTTCGTGGTTGCACATAACTCTGTTTATTATTATTGCAAACTTATTTCCAATATGAAAAAGGCCTCGCATAATATATATTATGCATAACTGTTAAGCAAATTCAAAAACCTTTTATATAATTTATTAAAAATAAAGTCCTTAATAATAATAATAATAATAGACTAATTCTTAATATCTATAAAATTTGTCTTTGATCCTTGAATTTGAGTTCTCAACACGTGCCTACTCATGAGATATTATGGAAAAGCCGCGAGTTATATCTGACTGGGAGTCTGAAGGATATAATTGATCATTATATTGGGCTTGGAGCCTGGAACAATATAGTGTGTAATCTCCGGTTATATTTGGATCTGAATCTGAACCAACATAATTAGAGCCACTAGAAGGTCTAGTGGGTTAATTAGGCAAACTCGAATAGCACGCTCGCAATATATTAATATTAATATATGACTGGGGGGAATCCACCCCACCGATTCCTATCTAAAATCTTGAGGTCCATGAATTAAATGAATATTTTCTTATATTGAGAGAACTCTATATAAAGTTATGACTTTGACGGGTAACTGGTTAAGTGTAATCTTTCATAAGTTTATTACTTTTGGTTAATAAATTTAAACTTGCAAAACTGTTTTAATAGCATTACATTAAGAAATGCAAGCTTAAGGGTTTTCAAAATGACGAATTAAACACAAAGACTTTCCCATTACAAAAAGCATATAAAGAATAGAAAAATATTACTATTACTGCATTTTTATAAAGATTTATAAAGATTTGAGAATTGTTATCTTATAATTAAAGGTATTCACTAATTGAAAGGTTTTATTTATTAGAGAAGAGGATAAGAAAAGAGATTAAGCAATTTACTTGTTATACACACGTTTGACAATTAGCATTTCGATATAAATTTCTTCGTATAATTATTATTAATCAAAATAAAATTTTAATTTATTAATAAGGATTGTTGGTTTAATATAATGATTATTACTTTAGGATAAATAACTTGATTTGTAAAATGCTACCCACAAAAGAGAATCAATAGATTATATAAGACAGGACTTTAAATTAGCACATAAATCACACACCTACCCTTTCAGTAAGATTACAAGGTGTTAGAATATGGTGAAATGGGTGTAACCTTGGATTGATTCCATGCAATTGTTCTGGCAATTTTTTTTATCTTATACATATCTTAGTTAAATAACTATTTGCTCCTTTCCTTGAAAATGAATGTCACCATCCATATACTACATATCTATTATATTATTATTGATATAACAAACAATTACATCATCTGAGCAATAAATAATACTAAAGGCCATGCAGAAATAATGTGTTTATCCAGGTTTCTGGGATTCCCAAAATAAATCTGTTGATATTGATCACAGGTATCAGATTTAATAAAATTTTCCTATCACAAACACGCGGTTGATGCTCTTAATATTGACACACCTCATAACTGTGGAATTTTTTCACAGGTGAGGTTCCCCTATGTTGGGAGGCTTTTGACAAGTGAGAGTTTCCGTAAAGGCTTTATCTTCTAGATTTGGTCAATGCCATATGGGCATTGATAATTGACAAACATGTGATATTTGGTTCATGTTACTCCTAATATAAAGTTGGTGTCTGCAACTTATTTGGGATTTTGCAACTCGGAAGGTTCAACCTTGTTTTGTTGATGGCACACCTACTCACAACAAAAGCTTTGATTTAGGGTAGAGAACCATTTGGGCAATTGTTCAGATTCCCTAACCCATTCAAAAATAATAAATTCGGTTAATCAAATAAAAATTTATCAAAGAAACAGAGAATTTAGGAAAATAATTAATTTATATGGAACATACCAAACAAAATTTGAGCTATTTTATGACTTTCCTCTTAGTGCAAGAGATCATGGTGACTGCTTGGGACAAAGTAACCAAACTTGGAAAATATCCAGGAGGCTCTTTGAAAAAGAAAGAGTCCAAATACAATTTCAGAGTCTCCAACTTCATTCTGAATTTCCATGATGACTATGCTGTTTTTGATTGGTCCTTTTACGTGATTTTCATTTCCGATAGCCATCCATACAATCTTCTGAGCTTGAAACAATTTGTAAATCATAGTTGCAGAACCATCTTTACCCTAGAAATCAGCAACGTTTTGGCTAACATACTTATCTGGGTAATACCAGTTCAGGTGCTATGAGGGAAGAATAGTTTCATGCAGGCATCCTTGATGATGATACAGTTTCAATAAATTCCAGGACCATGCGACGCCCTCCTGGAATTTAATTTCATCATATTCATAGGGCGAAGCAGGTCAGATTAGCCTTATGTATATAAAGGAAAAGATAATGACTGTGATGTTTTAGATAAAATGGTATATTTCAACATCTGTAAAATTTCCAATAATCAAAAGTTGCACATTAAATTGTTTTCCAAATTGTCTAGGTGCCATTTTCCATCTTCAATAGTTGTATTGCTTTTCTTTATCTTTGTTATTTTACTTAATATTAATAACGATTACAAAAATTAAATACACTAATCATTCATTACAATAAAGAGCCTTATAATAAATGCTTGACGAATATGCTCCGTGTTTTGATTCCGCTAATAAGATATTTATAAAAAAAAATATTTATAAAAATAAGAATAAAAATGAAAATAAAAATAAATACAAAAATATCAATTGCAAAAAAAGTTCTTCTGATCGTTAATAAATAACGCGTCTTCTTGGTATCGCTGTCACACATTGTGACATACAGGGCGCCTTCAAAAATTATTAGATTGAGATTGAGATTGAGATTGATTTCGATCTGCGTTCAAAAATTTCCATATCGAGATTGGATTGAGATTGAGATCGAATTTTAATATGAAATTTCAATCTAGGTCAGGTAGTAAGATTGAAAAATAAACAAACAAAA